CTCTGTCTGTGCACACCTCTCTGTTTTCCGTTTTCCCTTTTCCCGCTTTTCCTCCTTGTCTGAATTCATCTGGCTTCTCCATCAGCGCCTGGAGAAGAAGGAGTGGGCCGCGAGTTGTTCCCATCCTGGTATAAACCAGCAGGCGGTGAGGCGGCCCTGGGAGAAGCCCTGCAGAGAAAGCTTTGGGGAGCCCAGAGACTCCCACAGGGGCTGGAGAGGAGCCTTCACAGAACAGGGGTGCCAGGCAAGGCCCGCTGCACTTCCCCTGCGGGGAAGCCAGGGCAAAGAAGGGAAGCGCCGTTTGGCTCTGGGTGGGAACAGGGACCTTTGGTGGCTCCCTGGGGCTGCCGGCTTCCGCGGGCTACAGTTTCGACTTTGCAAGACCCTCCGACTGCAGGAATCACCTGGGCCTCACTCCCCCGGCTCTCCCACAGGGTGCGGTTGGGGTGACCAGAGGAAGACAGAACCACGGGCATCCGGACAAGAAGGCAGCTGTGTGATGTCTCACCACAGCCGGGGAACACTCTCAGGATCCTCACATCCTGGAGGGGAAACCGAGGCTTAAAGAGCTGATACCCAATTGCCCGCAGCCCAGATTAGGCTGGGATGGCCCTTCCCCCAGCCCCTTGCGTTTGAAGGACGTGGCTGTGAGCGGGGACTGCGGCTGCTGCAGCCCACAGCACCGAAAGGCTGTGCGGCTGGGTACGCATTTGCCAAGTGCTTGTGGGCTGGCCAGCTCTGCACCAGGGACACTGGGAACGTGGACACTGGGAACGTGGACACGAGGGTGAATGCTGCAAACCAGGGCTCGGCACTCCAGCACCAACTCCCGCCCACCCGCCCAGAGCTGCTGTTCCAGCTTCACCGGTGCAGCCCTCACCAGGACCCCAGGGGCCTGCCCAGCCCTTCCGCATGTCCCAACCTCCTCCTCTTTCATCTTCCACATCTGGCTCACCCCCACCCTCTCCGGGCCAGCAGCTCCTCAGGACAGGGCTGAGTCCCCCGTGCTGTTTACAACGCAGCCGATAAGAGGTGACACTGATCAAACAAACAAGGCCGATCCTGACCCCGATGGCCACCCCAGCGTTTGGGCTGGGACACCAGGAGTACCACTCGTGGTCACAGGCAGTGGACAGGACCTGGGCTGTCTGTGTGGAATCTGGAAACCATCCTCACCGGGATGGGGGCTGCCGTGAAGGACAAGGGCTCCCCTGGTGGGCGCTGCATCCCCAGGACAGCACAGAGCCAGCTTCGGAGAGTCTCTGAGCAAGGGTTAGACACGGCCTCCTTGGGCCTGCCCCTTTTTCTCACCTCACCTTTTCCCCCTCTCCCCCCTCCGTCCCCTGGATGCCATGGAGCCAGGCCACTCCCTTCCCCGGCTGGGCCCGCTCAGTCCCCGCGGCTCGGAGCCCGTGCCCAGGTGGCACAACCCACTCGGGGACCCACTGCTTGTTTCCACGTGAGCCGTGTTCAGTTGCTGCCTCCTGCGGTCCTGGCATGGGAGGCAACCCTGTGACCACCCCTGCCCCGGGAGGCTCCCCAGGGGCTCTTGGGAGGGAGGCTGGGGTGCAGAGGGTCACCCGAGATGCCCCTCTGAGCCCCTGCCTGGCCTGCTGTGGCTGGAAACATTGAGGCCAGAGTCGTGGAGTGAGTCACATTCTGACCTCAGCGCTTGGAAACAGGTGACAGAAACCCGGCTGGGGGAGCTGGTAACAGCACCAGCTCTCTGTGCTCCTCCTCTGGGGCTTAGGGGGACAGCAGACATTGAGGCCTGACGCTGCACATAGTGACAGAAACACCTAACAAGCCCACAGCACTTCCTGCAGCCAGGTCTGTCCCCAGGGCTCTCCCTGCATCCATGCATTTCGTCCTAGCAGCAGCTCTGAGCAAGCAGTGTTAGTGTCTGCCCCACTGTCGAGGACACGGAGACACAAGAGGCTGAGGAGCTTGCCCAGGGTCACACAGCGAGGAGCAGCTCCGCTGGGATTTGAACCCCGGCCGAGAGCCCACGCTCGCTCCTGCGGAAGCAGAGATGGGGCCAGAGATGGAGGCGAGACCACGGGAGATCCGGGATTGGAACTCCAGGCAGAGGACACAAGGAAAGAGCTCCCAAATGACCCACTCAGGCAGCTGGCTCCCCTCCCCTGCCCTGGGGCTGCCCGCAGGCTGACACCTTCCTGCCTCATAGCCCCATTCCTGTCTGTAGAGTAAACCCCAGCGAGGGCGAAGGCTGTGTGGCTCAGTGTGACGCGCACCTGACTCACAAGGGCGAAGCCTGGCTGCCTGCTCGCCTGGGAAGGAAGGGCAGTGCGTAGACTGCATCTATTAACTGTGTCATCTTCAAGTTCAGCTCATGGACGTCTACACTGCGGTTAGCTCTGTCTGGAGCTGAGGTCAGGACCCGGTGCTCTTGGAAACCTGAGCTCATGCTTCGAAACACAACATCCAGGGCCGGGGATTTAGCTCAGTGGTTCCACCCCCTGCCTCGCAAGCGCAAGGACCCAAGTTCAATCCCCGGTACAAAAAAAAAAAAGACTCACAACAGCCACACCTGTCAGGAAAATAACCGGCAGGCGTGGGGTTCCTCTCTCAGCTGTATGCATGGCAATAACCCAAATGCTGACGATGACCCTGGGACAAGGCCCTGAAACTCGGAGAGGGAAGGAAATCTTCCAGACACCCAGCAGGGACAGCCGCAGCAGCGTCCTCACCCACAGAGTGAAGCCAGCCCGGGTCAGAGTGATCCCACGGTCGTCCCTCCTCGAACAACACAGCGTGGTGGTGCTTTCCCTGGTGTTCCCCTGTGTCAGGCTGATCTGAATCTGGAGACGAGGTGGTCTCGCTAGGACGTGGGCAGGGTGTGGTGGTTTGTGCTCCAGGGCTGACACACCCGACGGTAATGGGGAGTCGCAGAGCTGAGGGTCGTGGGGACACCCCCGAGCATCCGGGACCCCAGATAGCTGTCCTGGAAATCAAGTCCTATGGCTGGCTGCCAAGGGGGCCCTCAAGTGGCCCTCCTCACCCTCAGACCCCCGGGGCGGGGTGACAGGCCCTTGCAGGTCCGGATCCCACAGTTACAGCCGCCCATCCTGGCATTCCCACAGGGCTCTGCACTTCCTGCAGCAACAGAGGGCTGAGCTTCTCAGCAGTCAAACTTCTCCGCTGACAGGCTCCTGCCCCACACAGCCTGGGGGTTGTAAGGAGAAGGCATCCTTCCACACTGTTCGTGGGAATGTGAACTAGTACAAACTCTGGAAATCAGTGTGGAGAGACCTCAAAACATGAAAACTAGAAATTCCATTCAACCCAGCCCTGCCCCTTCTAGGTATCTTCCTGAAAGAGTTAAAGACGTCATATTACAGTGATCCATGCACACCCAGGTTTATAGCAGCACAGCTCATAAAAGCTAAACTGGAAGCAGCCTATATGCCCATCAACAGATTACTGGATAAAGAAAATGTGGCATCTATACACGTTGGAGCATTACTGTGCCATAAAGAAGGGTAAACTTGAGTCATATGTAGGAAAATGGATGTACCTAGAGACCATAATGTTAAGTGGAATACATCAGACACCATCTGAAATATCAAATGGCTTCTCTTATATGAGAAGCCCAAAGCATAAGTAAATTAAAGAGCAAAGGAAATGGCAGGTGATAGGAAATAAGGAGTTAGGTCTTTTGTGAAAGGGGAGGGGAACAAGACATGGAAGGGAGGGAGGGGAAGGAGAAGGGAAAAGAATTAAGGTGTGCTCCCCATGAGGGTGTGATCGCTATGTACTGCAAACACGTGGTAATCAAAATCAAAATTAAAAATGCATCAAGAGAAAGATTCTCAGCATGGGAACATCCCAGCTGCGCTCTGGCCCCCACGTGCCTCAGCTTTCCCAGAGAGGCGCAGGGCGAGGACCCCTGCCTGGGTGTGAGGACCCCTCTGCAGGGCCCGAGCTGCATGCCGGCTGCAGCTTCCTCTGCGGCTTTGGATGCTCCAGGCCCTGGAGGACCAGCAGAAAGCGGAGCCTTGTAGACCCAGCCAGGCACTCTAGAGCCCACGCCTGCCCCTGTGGACCGCGTCTCCCACCCTGACTGCTTGGGAGCTCGCCGCGGTGCTCCGGATCCGCCTTAGGCTCTGAGCTCAGCGTCCCCCGGGACCCAACCAGCCGGATGCAGCCACCCCAGGCCCCACCTCTGACTCCCAGTTCTCCACAGCAGGCACTCTCTTGTGCTCTTAAATATTTTTCCTGATTGCAAACATAACATGCTCAATGCAGAACCTGGAAATACACAGAACGCAGAAGAGGCTGCAAGCGCTCCTCCACCCTCCTAACCCCAGCAGCCCCAGACTTCCAGCATCGCCACTGTCTTCCTCCCGGAGCCATCTGGTCTGCGGCCGTGAGCTCTGTCCCCTCCCCCGCAGCCCAGGGGTCACCAGGATGCCCGCGGGGCTCTGCTCCCCACCCTCCCGGGGACCCCACATTCTGCGGTGCTTCCTGCCTCTAATCGGGGACTGCATATTTGTGACACTGACAACGCCTCCTCGTGGAGCTGGTTTCCCGTGGACAGAGCGCCTGGCGCTCCCTGCAGCGGCTGCCGCAGAAAGCAAGATTTTCTCATCTTTCCCCTGTCATTTTTCCCTTCTTTTCTTTTCCACCTTCCGCTGTCCCTGGAGGGTCAGCCCTGGGACTCCCTGGGCTTGTATTTCAGCAGGACGACTCTCCTGGCCACCCACAGGAAGCATGGAGACGCCAACAGAGCGCGATCCATCCCCTTTTGGGTTTTTTGCACAACTAGGAATTGAACCCAGGACCTTCACACCGAGCTACATCCCCAGCCAATATTTATTTTTCGTTCTCGCTAAGTCGCTCAGTTGCCCAGGCTGGGCTGGAACTGGCCGTCCTCCTGCCTCAGCCCCCAGAGTGCTGCAGTCACAGCAGTGCACCCCCACAACCGGCCTAATCCACTTCCTCGATTACTGAACTTCTCGGAGCCACAGTTTTCTCACCTGTAAGATGCCTCCTTCGTGGGTTTTTATGATACTCACTCAAGTGCCTGCACAGGGCTGTCAGTTCCTCCCCAGCCTCGACAGGAATAAACTGACTAAATGACAGTGGAGGGCTGAACATCTGGGGAGTAACAAGAGGACAGGGCGGGGGGAACCTCAGGGGAGAGGCCCTGAATCACAGACCACTCATCGCACCACCGTGGGGCTGGGGACACTGAGGCCGAGGAAGGGGCAGCCGGGCTCTCCGGGGCTGCCAGGTCCTCGGAGCTGGGCTGAAGAGGAGAAGCGGTCCTCGGGCCACCCTGCTCCGGGTGCTGGCGGTCGGGCGGCCCCAGCAGCTGCTGAGGGAATCCAGCCGCCACCTGATCCCAGGCCCCACGCCCCGCCCAGCACAGCCAGGCCCGGGACTCAGCATTATCCGCCCTGCCGCTGAGGCAGCCCCTGCCCGCGGTTCCCAGGCCTCGTCCTGGGGCCATCATGGCCGCGGTGCTCTCTCCAGCCTTGCCCTGGGCAGGGGGCCCCCTCCCGTGACCCTACAAAGGCCCCAAAGCCTTGTGGGAGCGCCTGGGGCGGCTGGGGCCACGAGGCCCCTGTCAGGTTTGCTGGGAAATAAACCTGTCCTGTGAGCGCCAGCCTCTGCTTCTCTTCCTTTTCCCTGACAATCGCCCCAGGTGGAAGCTCTCGGACCCCTGGTGCCTCCCATCCCCGCCGACCCACTCCGCTGGCCCGGCCGCAGATGCTGTGACCTACCTGGGGAGCAAGCTCTCTGTGGCCTGGAGGGGGGAGCGTGGCTCTCCCTGGGGACCTTCTCTCTGTGATGGCAGCCAGGGGTCCCGCTGGCTGGGGCTGGGGCCCCTTCCTGCACCCCAGCTGTCACTCAGCCACAGCAGCTTCTTTCTCTGACCCCATGTGGGGTTTAAATAGCCCCGCCCCAGGAAGGGGAGCCCCGGGACGAATGACTGGAACCGCGTCACCTGCAGCCCTCCAGCAGGAGGCCAGGCACCCGCACCCCGCCCACACCCACCCTGTGGACCACCGATCACCTCCCCAGCCCTGCTTACGGGCCCTGGGCTGCACCCAGGCAGGACTCCCCGCCCCAGGCTTCCCCCAGGCTCTAACTCCTTCCAGCTGCCCTGCCTCAGCTACACCCACAGCTCAGCTCCGCCGGCCTCCCGCCCATCAGAGACATTCTGTCGTCTAGACTCAGGCCAGGGGCCTCCCTCCCTCCCTCCTCATCCGACGCAGCATCCTGTTGTCCCCTCCCTCATGGCTGGGAGCTCCCAGGCAAGGGTGGTCTGTGATGCCAGCCCAGCCTGGCTGACCAAGCAGAGCCGGAATCAGGGCACATGTGTGGGACCCACGTCCCTGCCCTGGGCTCCAGGGTCAGTGTCTCAGCTGCCCTCTCCTCCCGCCACTGTCCCCCACCCACCACAGACCTGTGGCTCCCACCTGAATGCAGCAACGCGGAGCATTCGTGCCAGGTGATGAAGACACCAATGTGGGGGTCACTGGGCCTGCTTTGAATCTGGCTCTGCATTTCCTGCCTGTGCCTTAGGGTTTCTGGCTTTACTTCTCAGGGCTCAGTTTCAGTGTCTGTGTCAGGGATGGAACAGTCACCCGGCAGGCAGCAGAGGCCCAAGTGTCCCCGAGTGGTGGACATTGACTGAGATGGTTGCTCTCCTCTGGGCCCACAGAGCAGAGCCAGGCTGTGATGGGCTCCGTGCAGCCGGCCGGGCACCTTTCCACGCGGGAGTCCAAGCCTCTCTGGCCAGGTTCCCTTCAGCACTCACTCCGGAAAGAAGCCACGGACACCCGGTTCCCTGCCTAGAAGCAGCTAATTCCAGGACCTGACTCTGGCTTCCTCCTCCTGCCTTTTTGCTTCTTTATTTTAAAATTATTTTTAGCCTTGAAGGAATCACGCCCAGGATCCCCGTGTACCCGTCACCCAGCTTCCCCAGCCTGCCCGTCCTCCCACCCACAGTGCGGGGTGCAGGCCAGGGACAATGCAGGCACCATGCTGCTCTGGGCCTCACACACTGCCGGGCACACGCATGCTCTCCGAAGGCCCCTGTGCTGGGAGCTTAGTCCCCCACCACGGTGGCAGTGAGAGCTGGGGACCCCTGAGGTGGCGCGGGGGAAGGCCAGTCCCTGGGGCGCCTCGCGGGAACTAGATCGCTGAAGACCGGGCTGCTATGAAGTGAGCTCCGCTGCTGCTCCCATCCCCCTTCCTGGCTCATGTGTAACCTCTCCCATCATTGTGACATCCCCCACCTCGAGGGCTCCCCCAGAGCTGAGCAGATCCGGGCACCGTGCTCTGAGCCTCAGAACTGAGAGCCAAATAACCCTCTTCTACTCCCCAGCCTCGGATGTTTTGTTACAGCAACAGGAAAGGCACCACACACAGATCTTATTCAGCCCTCACCAGCTGCCTGGCTGATGCTCTGTTTCAGGCCCAGGAAGGAAACCTGAACCCCACGTAGCGTTTGGTGGGGGTCTCCTCAGCCTCCCTATTCCTGGGCAGCTCCCAGTCTTGCTTTGTCTTTCAAGGGCTTGCAGGTTTTGAAGAGTGTTTGTAGAATGTCTCCAGGAACCAGCTTGATGCTTCAGGGGTTAAGGTGAGGCATTGGGCTCAGGATAGCCCGAGCCCTGCAGCGTACTGCCGCCGAGCTGTGTGACTCCAAGGTGCCCCTTTGCTGGTGACATCGACATTGGTCACAGGGGTCAGGCGGCACCTGCCAGGTTTCTCTGCTGGGAAATACTGTTTATCCCTCCATAATTAATAAGAATCCTGAGGACAGAAACAGCCAGCTTCCTGTTTCTCGTCACACTTTTGCTTCCTAATTTTCGTCTCTATTGATATTTTCCAACAGTTATTGCTGTGGTGTTTGCCAAGTGATGGTTTTTCTCCTTCCATCATTCTTTCTCCATTTATTTGGTTTTTTTCTTTTGGTACCAGGGATCGAACCGGGGTCCTTGTGCTTGCAGGGCAGACGGCGGCCTCTTTCTCCATTTATTAACTGGAATTTTACTATGGGAAAGAGTTGGTTTCTCTCTTCCTCCTCCTACACCTTCTCCTCCTCTTCCTCCTTTCTTCCTCCTTTCTATCATGATGGACTCCTAGGCATTTATTTCATTCCATCACTATTATTATTTATCTCGCTAGATGTCCCTTGGAGCATCTCCGCCCATCTGCTTCCTGTTGAGCTGGTTTCCCTAATGAGATGTGGCCAGAGGCTGTCACCTGCCCTCCACGTCATGCTGTGACCCCAGCAGTCACTCGCTGTTCCCTGGGCCCTGGCTGGGCGCCTGCTCTCCCTGTGGGCCCCTGAGGCATCTTCCTGGCAGGGCTCGGGCCTTCTTGGAAGGGCAGGTTGCAGAGGAAGTGTGTCATCGCCCCGAGGCAGGGAGTTCCAGCAGGCACTGAGCCAAGAGGTCTTCTCCTGCTGCAGGGTCACCCGCTCTTCCCCCACAGTGCCAGCTGCATCCCCTGCCCGAGCTCCTCTTTCACCTGCGGCAGGGAAGGTTAGAGAAGCCCACAAAGCTGCCCCCTGGCAGCAGCTGCCCAAATTCTTCGCAAATGTGCTGAAGAAGTGCCCTCCACCTAGGGGAAGGTCGCCAGAGGTTTCCACGAGCCCTGGGAGCAGCCAGGGTGGTGCGGGCAGCATGCACCAGCAAGAGAGGCTCCAGCTGGGAAAGGCGCGCTTGCCCTCGGTGCATGGGCGGCCAGAGAAAGCTGGAGCTGCTCTTGCGCTGAAGACGTGGAAGCTGCTGCCTGCTTGGGAGGCGTGGAGCCAGCCTGGAGGCCAGGCAGCTGCAGCACTGGGCCTCTCCCGTGGCCTTCGGGTAAACCCAACATCGTTACTGTCCTCTGCCTGTAACGTGTTTCCATCTTTTTTATGCATTTTCTATTTTTTTTTATTTGTTAAGTTTCTTGGTACATTTTAGGTATACACTACGATGACATTCAACCTTGGGATCTTGTACCTTTACATGAGCATCTTGGTTCTTATTTTTTCCCCTTCCCCTGCCCTCCCTTCACCCCCTCCATGCCTCCCTATTTACAAAGACTTTGTTTCCATGTTTTCATTTTCTCATATTAATTCCATTCCCTTCTTTCCTTTCCCCTAACCCTCCCACTTCCCCTTCCCCTTTGCCCCTTTTCTTCCTATTTCGAATTGTCTATTATACCTTTTGATCCTCATTTGTACTTTCAGTTTCTCACACCAGAGAAACTTCGGTTTTTACAAGTGTCCATGTTAACACCATGGACACCACTCCTGCCACAGTGGGGGGGCCCCATCTCCTGTCCTCCGCCCACACCAGAGTGAACCTTTGTCCCCACCACCCAGCTCCAGCCTCTCCAGGTCCCCTGATCCCGAGCCTGCACACAGTGCTATTCAGGGCTGAGTCTGCTCCTCACCCTGGAGACTCCTCGCTGTTGGGCTGTGTCCATCTGCAGAGAACCCGGCCACGGCCCCATGGCCAGCAGGGACTGGAGACGCAGCCGGCAGATCCCAGCGGCCAAGCCATGCCACCCCGCTTTGTGCCAGAGCCTGGCTTGACCCTGCCCTCTCTGTCTCCTTCTCTCTCTCTCCATTTCTCTGTCCTCTCAGAGCGAAGTTCCCTCCCTTCCAGCTGCACCTCTGCCTCTTCCAGGGTCCTAAAGCTGAATTCCCGACCTGCAAACCTGCCCTCCCCCAGAGCCGGGTCAGTACCAGGTTTACTCACTGTAAGGAGATGTGGGGCGCAGAATCTCAGACAGCTTCTTCCTGTGGCCCACTGACGGCACAAGAAGAAGGAAACTGCTCGTCTCACCTCTTCCATTTCCTCTTTCTGCACCACCCCTTCCCAGCCGCCCCCCCTGGCCAGCCCAGGCCTGCACTAGGTGGCCCCATCCACACACCTACTGGTGTATCAAGCACCGGGGACAGAGGCCACCTCCCCCACCTGCGCACCAGGGTTGCCCAGACCCGGAGAAGGAAAAGCCACCTGCCCGGAAACACACAGCGGACATGGGAGCCAGCCATGTGGCTGGGGACCCCCCCACCCCAGCTGCCGGCCTGTCCTCGGCATCTGCTCTATTTAACTCTGCTCCTTCCTGCTCCTGGCCCTTCCAACTGAGATCTGCCTCACTCCTCCAGCACAGAAATCATTCCGTGCCCATCCGAACACCTAGGGTACAGCCCCACCAGTGCTTCAGTGGGGCAAACATTCCAAGGGTTATTGGATGAGTGCGGTGTGGTAGCACCCACCTCTAACCCCAGCACCTGGGAGGGTGAGTCAGGAGGATAGGCATGAGTTCGAGACCAGCCTGGCTACATATCGAGACCCTGCTGAAGACAGGCCTCGGTGCTTCCCGCACACGGTCTCCACCAGCAGGGGCCTCTCTGCGGCCAGTCCCAGAGAGCTGGACCCACGGAGGCCTCCTCTTATTCTCCTGACACCCCGTCAGGATGCTGGAATTTGTCTCTGGGGCCACCGACAGGGCTTCTGCAAGCCCAGGCCTGGAAACGGACACCCTGGCAGGGATGGCCGAGGGCAGCTGCTGGGCCTGCACGTGGGTGGGTGGCGGCAGCTTTCAGGAGCCAGTTCCATTTCCCTGGAACTATTTTCTCTTAACTTGGGGGGTAGGTGAGTTGAGACAGGGTCTCGCTCTGGAGCCCAGCCTGGCCTTGTACTCTCGGCGACCCTCCTGCCTCAGCCTCCCCTAAGAGCTGTGTGCCACTACACCTGGCGTCTTAAACACCTTTGGTGTCCGCAGAAGCTGAAGAGCTGAGAGCTGAGGGCTTGCCTGACCACCCTCCACCCTTCACCCCACCTGTCCAGGATGCCAGGCCCCGGCTGGGCACGGATCCTCACCCAGCTCGAGGCCGGGGTGGACATGGCCTTCCATGATCTGAACACACTCTCCTGTCCAGCCCTCCACCCACCCCGCACAGAGAGCTTCGTCATCCTGCACCAGAGGCTGGGGTTTGCAGCTCGCTGGCCCCAGCCACAGCCCCAGCCTCTGCCCACCTAGCTGGCCCCTTCCTTCTGCATCCAGATGTTTCCCCTCCGCCCCAGACAAGTCCGCAGTTTTATTAAATAAGTTGTTTATTATGGCACTTTTCAGATATATCCTCCAAAGTGCC